GTCTCTTGTAAAATTGTACCTGTTGAACAGACATGTTTCTGTTGTCACACACTCTGCTGCACGGACATGTGGGAGATGGGTGCACACACACACACACACACACTCACGTTCCTGAGGCTGTCCAGGTTGATGATCTCCTTAGTAATACAGGGTTGCGACCTACCCTCAGGGGGACAGGTGGGGGACGTGATGTGTGCACACATACACCCACACACACGTTAGCGGGGCTTGTAGGTACTGACCAGTGTACTTTCCACACCCTTGCACATAGTTTCACACAGGAGGCACCTGCTGAAGTTTGCATTCTGCATTAACCCTTTAGCTTGTCAAACAGATATATGAGAATACCTTGGTATTAATCTTACGCTGGGCAAAAAGGTGTATTATGTTTTATATCATGTATTGTTTGTATTATCCTGTATCCCTGTAACCTGTTGAAAGATACGCTGATGTATATGTAGCTGAATATTATTATCAACCAGTGAGCAAGGGGTTACCATGTCCCTGTCATGACCCACAGAGGCAGCAAGAAAGGGGGGAGGGATTACTTGCCCCAGGCGTTGTTAAGAGTATAAATATTCTCGGTTTGCAAGGACCAAGGTCTTAGTCGGGGGAGAGGTCTGGACCTGCGCTGGGTTAATCTTTAACTTTTTTCTCCGGACATTTGGAAACAGCCTGCTCACTGAACCAGCGTTTTTAAACACTTTGTTGATTTTTATATTTTTATGTTAATGACTTTTTCTCTGTATTTGGACCAAGAGAATATACTTTGAATTGGACAAAAATAAATAAGTAACATTTGAACTTTTTTCGGCCGACTTTTTTCTTCATCTGTTTTGGTAACTCAGAAAGGAGAGGGCTCCTCTTAAGGGAGAGACACCAGCCCCTGTGGTAAGTTGACGGAGCTCCAGCACGGCACACGACTGATGCATACTATATGCGCACACACATCTACACATACTAGCATTCGTTTTCTATAGTTAAGAGAGACCCGGGGAAGTCCCGCTTGATTTTGAAAGAGCTTTATATCTGTTGGGCTCTGAGCAGGGACAAATAAAAATAAATTTAAATTTAATATAAAATAAATAAAATTTTTAAATACTTTATAAAACCGACGGCTATTCGAGTGACCGATTATACTATTTAGTATATCAATATTTGGCGATTCGGAAAAGAAAGCAAATGAGCTATCGATCGTGCTCTTGTTGACGATTTATTACTATTTAGTGCAATCAGCTACTGGTCTAGGTTTCTCTTAAGCGGAGGCAATCGAGGCAAAGCAGGGAGAAGTGCACGGGAGCCACTTCACCCTCAGGCCAGGTGAGCGAGTCACATAGAGAGAGAACTGAACTCTGCCTCTCTCCCCCTTCACGCAGTCTCTTGCTGCAACAGGGGCGCTCATAGGGAGTGACCGGACATCGGGGCACGAGTCTCGTGGATCCGTGGTCACCCCGGCGGCAGCTCGGGTCTGCTTGTCGCCGGCGAGGTCCTCTCAGTTCAGGCATCCACTGCTGAGGGCTCCTCGTTACACTTTTGTTAGGTTCAAACAAAAGGCCTCCTGTTTGTTTATTACTTTTTATTTTTTTGATAAATTAAAACATTTTGATAAGAAATAATTTTTAATAAATCAAATAAAATTTATTTTTATTTTTTATTATTAATTAAAAATTTAATTAAGAAAGCGTGCGGGGGCACCGTGCGCTACAGTTACATTATCTACATTAACATAAGACTGTATGAAAATAATGCAAGACAGGCATATCGTTTGATTTCATGGATGGCTGAATGGTGGGTCATTTTAAATGATACTGCTGCAAGGAATTGTGGGGCGGTATGATCTCCTTTCCTTTTGTAAAGGAAGATCCAGTGTATCCTACTCTAAAGGAGATGAGAAAGAAAGCATTGAAGCATATTTTCTTAGCATTTAGAGCAGAGGCCTTCAACCCCTAGGGCAGGGGTCCCCAACTGGCGAACCGCGGTCCGGATCCGGACCCAGACGCATCCGGACCCAGGACCTAAAACCGATAGATAACTTGGAGTTATACATGTTTAACAGTGAGTTTATACTTCAACCGGCGCAACTTAGTCAGCCGTTACGGCACTTGTTCAGCGGTGCAGGAAACACAACGACCAGTGCGTTGTGAATCACATCAGCTGATGCAGCTCAGCCAATCAAATATGAGTATTCTGACAAGTTTCCTGACTCGAGTGAGATTTACACACACCGTGACACACGGGGCTGAGACGAGGAAATAGAAAGAAGAGCAGGGAAATTGCGCTAATCAGAGAAGTTATCTCGCATGACGTTCTCCAAAAAGAGAAACGTGTTCAGAGTAAATGGAATTTATAAGCAAGAATGAACAGACTCTTATGTTGATTCTTCCCACAGGCAGTTAAAACTAGCATGTCTCATATGTCCAGAAACCGTAACTATTGATAAAAGCGGCAAATGAAGCGCACTACGAGACAAAGCACAACTCTTTTGAGCAAACGTACCCACACACATCTGAAATGAAGACACAGAAAATAAACCTAAGAGCCCAATATGATCAGAATCCTAACTCATGACTTCACTGACTAACAATGATGTTACCAGAGAGAATAGAGCTGAAACAAGTGTTAATAACCACAGATAAAGTCCATGCACACTGATTTCTCTTTTAAGATGACAAAAATCTAATATCGTGGCTTTTTTATTGACATCACTTCACACCTGAATGAACTGAATTTAAGTGAAATAAATTTTTCTAAAATTAATTACTTTATTTTAAGATGCACTTTTCTGAAAAGCTTTCTGTTATGTCAGTTATTCTTTAATGCAGCCATTAGTTTACTTGAAATGAGAAGAACATTTATTTATGTATTTCTATGTATTATTTATAATCCATCCAGTTAAATTTGAAAACTGAGAATAATAATTTGTTAAAATATAATTGATGTGTACTTTCTTTATTTGATTTGACAGTTGTTGACTACACAGAGACATTGTTACTACTAGGCTTCTTGAATATATTTATATATACACAGTTGTGTGAAAAAGTGTTTGCCCCCTTCCTGATTTCTTATTTTTTTGCATGTTTGTCACACTTAAATGTTTCAGATCATCAAACAAATTTAAATATTAGACAAAGATAACACAAGTAAACACAAAATGCAGTTTTTAAATTGCTCCCGTAGCTGTGCCTACGGTGTAGAAATGTGATAGACTCTGAATTGTAAGTCGCTTTGGATAAAAGCGTCTGCTAAATGACTGTAATGTAATGTAATGTTAAATGAAGGTTTTTATTATCAAAAAGCTTTTGATGATCTAGATCCAATAATGACCCACAGTAAATTTGATAGCAATCGGACCCAGCATGTAGGAGGAGATTGCAGAAATGTGTTTTTCACTTAATTAAATATGGCGGAAAATCTAAGTAGGCGGAGCTTAGGGCTCTGAGAGGCTTTTTTGTATATCTAGCGGATTGGGACATGTGTGTTGAATTTCAAGTAAATCGGACATACTGGCCGAGGGGCGTCGCCGGTCCGATTTGTAGGGGGCGCTAGAGAGCCATTTTTTTTACACAGAGAGATGCATCCCTTTTCAGACTCTAAGTTCCACCAGACCTGACAAGTCTCCAAAATGTGGTGAGTTTTCATGCATGGCAAGTACCCCCAAAAAACTCCCAAAGTGGAAAAATAAAAATGACGAAGAATAATAACCCCTACAGTTTCAATAGGGCCTTGCTGGCGGACGTTGTCGGTTGCTCGGGCCCTAATAATAATACCCCTTACAGTTTCAATAGGGCCTTCGCAGGCCCGACGTTGTCGGTCGCTCGGGCCCTAATACCCCTTACAGTTTCAATAGGGCCTTCGCAGGCCCGACGTTGTCGGTCGCTCGGGCCCTAATAACCCTTACAGTTTCAATAGGGCCTTCGCAGGCCCGACGTTGTCGGTCGAGAATGAATAGATGAATGAATGGAAGTTACACTTTGTTTGTGGCCATAAATGTGTTTGGGCTTTGTTAAAATAAGAAAAGTGAATATTAGGTTAAATGAGAGAGCTGATTGTTTTGCTGTCCAGGATTCCAGTTCAAAATATAAACTTTTGTCAAACAGCAGATTGTGAAAATGTAACGAAATGCAATCGATTGGTTTTGTACTGAGCAACACAAATTGTCTGTTTTTTACGTGTCGCTCGGCACGACTTCTTTTTCTGTCAGTTGGGCTGACGTTACGCTACAAAATTAAATTAGGTTTAGGCAACAAAACTATCATGAACGCAACTTCACAGCAACACTTGGGGACAAGCAGTTTGAACACCGTTCTCGTGTTCGTTGGACCTATGCACCTCCTCAGACACCTACCCATTATAAGTGGTCTCTCTAAATATTAAATATTTTGTCACTAACTCTGACCATTGCATAGTCATGTGGCTGCATTAAGGATCCCCATTGTCGTTTAACATGACAACAATAAATTGCATTTCATGACATTTCCTGATTTTACCACCTGCCATGAAACTTGGCTGGTCATTGATTACAGAACTATTTGTTTTTCTTTGCACTAAGGTGTTCTTGTTAGGCAGACCAGCAGCCATCTGGCACCCAGAGTTATGAGAGTTATGTTCAGCAGTGTAATGAAGCCCATTTAGTTGCCTTTTTATAACTTTTTTTTTTACCACATCGTCTTTTTTTTAATAGCATCTTTAGAATCATTTATTCAATCAATTAACTGTTCATTAGTAAACACTGGAAATTATTTCATTATTCTACTAACACACTGGGTAGTCCATTTATTGTATGGACAAAACACATCAATAAGATTGGTCTCGTCTCTGCATTTGATCCCAAATTTGCATTCCAAGGCTGAGAAACCACATTGCACTGTATTCATGATACTTCTTTTCGAAAAACAGTGTTTCTATTGCTCTCACTAAAATGAAGCTGATTGATGAAAATGATCTGGTACTAAATACAGGATGAAATGCATGTTGGCATGAGAGGTGTATAAAGCTCTGACCTTGCCAGTTTGTGAGTCTCTGGGACTGTTTGTGGTGTTCCGTTGCGATGGCCAGCGTATTAAGAAGGACGAGCATGATCACCCACCAGTAGAACAGTTTGGACTTCACATACACTCTGCATTTACGGCGTAACCAACGATTCCACTTACGAGCCAGTTTACTGCACAAAAGACAAAGGAAGACAAGTTGAATTCCGATGAATGGTGAGTCTTCATAGTGGCCCTAAAAAAGGTAGCATGACTTTTAAATGACTTTGATGACCCCCTCTTTATTGTTATGGAACATGGATAGATGGGGTTATTCACATCCCTGTAGACATGATGCTAGTATCCCGGTTACTGATTACTGCATGGCATTGGGCATGGGTGATGAGAGGAAATATAGACCATGTTAACCTTTCCTGCTTCAGCTTCCAGACCGTGGATGATAAGCCCACCTTGTCTCCCCCTGCAAGGTTTACTCAAGGACATTTACACTTGATACCTTTACTCCTTATTCTTTTTCTGCTCCGATCGCCAACACCTGTCGGCTCTGAGCACATCCACTGTTACACACACTACGCATTGAGCTATTTCTTATAACTATATTTCAAAAACGATCTCAAAACTAGGATGAGGTTTATCCAGGTTTGTAAAATCAGGATATAATGTTTGCATGTTCAAACACAAAAACTGGATACTTCAGAAACCCGATCAGAACCAGGATACTCATGTTAATACACTCAGTATCATACTTTCGGAACTCCTTTTATTAAACTAAGACTTTTAAAATGTTGACAATATGTGAATAAATACATTCTGCTAAACAAGGGCACTACTGACTAGTAATAGATGATCATCTGCATGGTGTCCATTTTGTTGACACTTCCCGTCTCTGATCCATTTTCTGTGTTGAGCAGGCCTGATGAAAAGAGACAAACACACACACAGAACAGGTCTTTAGATCATGTTAAAGATCAGTCTACATCTTCCATGTTAGTCTTTGTTGATATTTAGATCAGGTAACTGGCTTTCTATTACCATTTGCAGTGTGCAAAGTGGTGCAACTCCCAAAGAAAAAATTGTAACGTAATCAATATTAATAAAATATAAATAGTAACTTTTCTACTTCTCGGTGAGGAGCCCATTGCAGCAGCTGTCTTGCTACTGTTTCTGTTTTAGACCTTTCATCTACTTTGTGATTGTTGATTACTTATGCAAGCTTGCACTACTAAAGCATTTTAGTTGTGGTGAATTTGGTGGAAGGTTCTTCATATTACTCCTGTATTAGCTTCTTCCCTTGCTTGTTGTGGTCCTGCATTTGACCCATCCCTGTATATAGGGAGCAGTGGGACAGGCGCCCGGGGAGCCGTTAGGGGTTCAGTGTCTTGCTCAGGGACACTTCGATACATGACATGTCCCAGTCAAGGATCGAACCGTTGACCCTGCAGTTACCAGACAACCCTCTTAACCCAGTGAGCCATGGTCACCCCAAAGTTGCATTGCTATTGCCAATACCATTACTGCTTTTATTATTAGTAGTCATACTTTTTCCATCATTATTCTGCTTACTACTCTCATTATATGAATAATTTCTGTCATATGCATGTAATGTGTTGTAACTCTGTTATGTTGTTCATTGTGTACACATAACATCTATCACACTTCATCCTGGTAGAGGACCCTCCTCTGTTGCTCTCCTTAAGGTTTCTTCCTCTTTTCTCTACGTTAAAGGAGATTTTCTCGTACCAATGGGACAGAGGATGTTGCTTGTGTACAGACAATTTGTGATTTTGGGCTCTCCAAAATAAATTGAATTGTGTGTTTTTTTCCATACTAGTTACCTGGAGATAATGGTCGCTTACACCCGCAGCGAGCTACTGTGCTACAGGCATGGAGCTGGAGTTCCCTCAGCACACATTTCAGAGACATGGAGAGAGTGAGAGGCATAAAAAACAAACCTCTTCTTCCATCAATTCTTATGGGGAACACCACTTCCCTTGCAAACAAGACGGATGAACTAACCGTAAACCATGCTCCCTGCCAGGGGAGCTTTCGTACACCAATGTTTGAAAATCCACTATATATCTCAAGTGATATCACCACAAGTCTACAAATACAGCAATCCAGCACCCTCATAATAATCAGTAAGGATTTCAATCATGTCTCCCTCTCTCCTTTGAAGGGGGCCTACAGCTCCTCTTCTCTCACCACACTTGCTGAATGAGACCACATCCTGAAACACGTTGACGTCACCTGCAAGCCACTGCTGAAGCAACAAGACTGTAAAAGTCTGGTCTAAGGACACAGAGCACTCAGGAGTGTTTCCATGAACTGTTCCAGTAGGACTACGAGGATGTGTGAAGGGTCTCTGTCATTGCATTACATTGTACCTTCCAAAAAGGTCTGCTGCTTCCTGAACAACACTGGAGATGAAAATTCTTCTCAACAGAAAGAAAAGTGCTTTCATGGCGAGGGATTGTGAGGAACTGCAAGCAGTCCAAATGGAAGTTTAGAGAAAACTGAAACAGGCCAAGAAAAGCTACAGGAAGACTGAGGCCAAAATGGGACAGAATGCTGTGAAGGAGGTTTGGAATTAAGCAAATTACCGGCTGCAGCAAAGCCCGCCTCCGTTGAACAGGAAACTTAGTATTTGCTAGTGAGCTGAACACATTCTTCGATGCTTTGACACAACCCCTACCCCTGAGTGTTCAGGTCCCCACTCTAACCCAATCCACACCTCTTCTTGGATATGGAAATATTGCACAAACATCATTATGACTGTAAGTACTTTATATAATATCTGACACTAACCTCATACTATACTTTTTATCATATTCTATAGTCTGTGCTAAATTGCTGAACTATACTGTACATTGCACTATATCAATATATTTCACCATATATTATATTTTACTTAATATCCCACTGTATTATAATTTATTATAGAAACTTCTGCTGCACACTGAAAGCAGCTGGTATCATATTACTCTACACATGTACTGTATACCATACATTGTTGCTACTAACTGCAATACTGTCTCATGCAATGTGACATAGTGGTGTGGTCAGAGTACAATTGTTTGTATATTGCTTGCAATGTAATCTAGTCTAATGGAGTTTAATTTCTATTTTATTTTATATATAAATACTTTTAGACATTGTTACGTGCCGTGTTGTGTTTGTGCTCTCCCTCTGTTTTCCCTCAGTCTTCTCGGGTGCAGAGTTTACGATGGAGGAATTTGTGGCAAATCCTTTTCACTTAGTTAGAGAAGTATACGAAGAGTGAGTTGCGGGAGATAGCAGCGCATTATAGTGTCCCTGCGTCGAGTGCCCTTTCGAAGGGAGAACTCAAAGCCATAATTGTTAATGGTTTGTGTATGCAGGGTGTTCTCCGGTTACCGGCACCGGAAGAGTCTCCTGACGAAGCGGACGCGGCCGTGGCAGCGGTATCTCCGGGGCGGGAGGCGACCGAGCAGCATTTCACTCCGGCGGAGCAGAGCGGTAGGGCGGAAGCGAAGCCGCGCACATTGCCTCAGTTTGATCCGTTGTTTTCGGGGTCAACTTCTGGTTCTAGGGGTGACTCTTGCGTAAAAGTGCGCCTCGCTCGTCTCCAGTTAGAAAAGGAAGAGCGAGAGCGAGAGTTTGAGCTCCGGAGGGAGTTGGAATTCCGTAGGTTGGAGGCAGATACAGCGGTTAGGATGCGTGAGTTAGAGCTGAATTCTGGGTCTGTTCGCACCTCTGCGGATATACAGGTAATGTCGGGTTCTACTGCTGCATTCGATGTAAGCAAGAATATTTCTCTGGTCCCTGTATTTCGTGGGTCTGAGGTGGAGTCATACTTTGGTGCATTTGAGCGCATTGCTGCTGCCTTACATTGGCCAGAAGACGTGTGGGCCATACTGTTACAATGTAAGCTGGTTGGAAAAGCTCAGGAAGCCTGCTCGTCCTTGTCGGTAGAAGATAGCCTGGTCTACGAGACGGTTAAAGGGGCTATTCTGAGGGCCTATGAGTTAGTGCCGGAGGCTTATAGACAGCAGTTCCGAAACCTTAGGAAGGCTTCTTCCCCGTGGCCGTCCGCTCATGTTCTCCTGTGGATGGTGTTGATCTCATCCTAGGAAACGACATAGCGGGAAATAAAGTGTTTCCAGACCCTGAAGTTGTGAATATCCCCATGCCTGATTCACTGTGTGCTTCTCCTTTGTCTGAGAATAGGTCTCAACAAGACCCTAAAGGTGGAGAAATGTCCACTGCTGGTCCAAAAGTGTACTTGCCAGTGACTGGTGAGACGGTCATCCGCACCCAGAGAGGCAATCCAGCCTTGGCTAGGTGTTTCGCCACGGCGGGTGAGGTCACCAGTGAGGACAGTGGTGGGTGGTCCTTCATAACAGAAAGTGGGGTGGTGATGCGGAAGTGGTTCGCACAATCGTGCAAGGAAACATTTAAATCAGTCCGGAGGACGTTTCCTATATGTCTCCTGTGTGTCGTCTTGTGTGTGGGTTTTTGTGATAATGTAAATGAATGTCTGGTGGGGGTTGGTTGTGGCCAAACAGGTGTTTGGTTTTATGGGAGGGAGTGTTACGTGCCGTGTTGTGTTTGTGCTCTCCCTGTTTTCCCTCAGTCTTCTCGGGTGCCACCCTCTGTCCCGGATGCCAGCTGCAGCGGCTGATTGGACGCGGCTGCGTTCAATCGCGGTTAGCTGTGGCTGGTGGCTAAAAGGAGAGGATCTCCTGAAGGACGATCTCTCGTGGGCAGACCACAGTAGTGAGGCTGTGCGTGGAAGCTGACAACCCTCAACAATTCTAAATGTGATCCTTTTAATTTGTTTATTTATAGTTTTTTTTCTTTATAAAAACAGACAATTGAAGTGATAAGGAAGTAAAAAATTATATTTTTATGACTAAAAACATCTCTTGTTATTAGTAGTTGTAATGATGTATTATACAGTAAGCTGATAGAGGTAGTGTAAACAGGTCATAATTCCCTCTCTCATCTATATTTATGTTGTGAAAACACCTTCAAACAAATGGATTTATTCAAGTTTCTCACCAACGTTACACTTTACAAGATTATGGTTATGGTCTGGCTCTTGAACCACAACAAAACATAACAAAAACTCAGGCACGGTGCTAAATAAAGAAACCACCTTTATTAGAAAAAGGTCGGGACAGTTCAAAGTGCACAACAGGAGAGCATTCTCGCAGCATCCCAGACGGTGTAACTGCTCCCTCTAAACACTCCGTGTAGCACACCAGGTGTCAGGGAAAAGAAGCCAGCCCATCCTCCGGATGGGGCGGGTCTTGTAGGGCGAAGGCGTTGGCCAGCTGCCTCCAATCTTCCTGATGGCCCTGGGCCGTCACACCCCCCCCCATAAAGACAGGGTCCCCACAGGCCCCTGGACATCACCCATGCCCACATCTCATTCCTTCAGCTACTTCGTCATCTCCCAACTCAGCTACTGGTACCTTGAAGCAATCTTTAAGAGAGACGGACAACAAAGTTGAAAGAAACATGATGCACAATTACTGACATGGGGCCCTGGACAATGCATCAGCAACAATATTGTCCTTCCCTTTAATGTGACGTATCTCTAGAGAGTATGCCTGAAAAAACAGGGACCATCTTATGAGTCTCTGATTTGGACAGTGTAGCGAGTTCAAAAATGTTAAAGGGTTGTGGTCCGTGTAAACTACCACAGGCCCTGAACCCACATACACCTCAAACTGCTGTAACGACCAAATCAACGCCAAAGCTTCTTTTTCTATTACGGAATAGTTTAACTGGTGCTTGTTGAACTTCTTGGAGAAGAAACTCACAGGTCTGTCAATACCCAATTCGTCCTCTTGCATCAGCACCCCACCTGCACCCACGTGACTGGCATCAACTTGCAGCTTAAAACTGCTATCCATTCGTGGTGCAGCGAGAACCGGAGAATCACAAAGGATCAGCTTTACAGCATCGAAAGCCCTTTGACAACCAGAAGACCAAATATACTCCACCTTACCCTTCAGTAGGTCTGTCAGCGGCGCCACTACAGTCGAAAAGTTATGACAGAAAGCTCTATAATAACCAACCAAACCTAAAAATTTCATCAGTTCTTTCTTTGTCGCCGGCGGCGGATACCGGTCCATGGCTTGCACCTTTGCCCATTTCCGCAGAAAAAGGCAGAGCAGACGCCAGGATAAATGAATCCAATGCTCCAGTGTCACGCAATATGGTCACCGGCACCTTCCTGTCAGTACCCACCAGAGACACATGTCCTTTTGTGATAAAAGGCAAAAATGAAGTCAAATCGGGCTTTTCCGTGAGAGATGTCAGATTACTCAAATTGTCTGACATAACCAACTTGGAAACTGGCGCAGCCAGAGCGGCTGGTTTCACCTGCGCGCCGTTATACCTGTTCTGCGACTTGCGCAAAGCACAGTCTCTTTTCCAGTGCCCTACTTCATGGCAGAAATGACAACTATCGTCAGAGGTACGGACACCACGGTCAGCTCTCTGTTCCAAACGAAAATTTCCACCAGAACTGCCAGAGAAATACCGGGCAGGACCACTTTCCCTACCAGCAAAGCCATAAGCGCGTGGATCCCCGCCGCTACTTCTGTGGGTTAAAACAATCATCTGCCAACGCAGCAGCCTCACCTGCAGTCTTCACCTTTTGCTCACTGATGTACATAGCAATTACCTCTGGGACTGAGTTTTTAAACTGTTCAAGCACCATCAGGTTACACAGATCATCAAAATCTTTGACATCCGACGCAGAATACCAACGGCTAAATTGAGTCCCCAAATCACGGGCAAACTCAGATGCGACCTGTCCCCTCTTTTCCAACTTCTAAACCGCTGACGGTAACCTTCAGGGACCAATTCATACGCCTTTAGAACCGCAGCTTTAACCTTAACATAATCGCAACTGTCACCTGTAGTCAACGAAGAGAAGGCTTCCTGAGCGCGCCCCGTCAACACACACTGCAGTAATATTGTGCGGTCCGAATTTGACCAGTCCCTCATATCTGCAGCATGTTCAAACATCGTAAAAAAGGTCTCAACATCTCTCTCATTGAACTTTGGCACCAAACGTAAATTATTCAAAATCTCATGTGAATCATCACGCCAGGCCGACTCTTCACTCCGTGAATTATCACCCAATTTACCTTCCCCCATCAGCTTCAGTCTCTCGCTTTCTAAATCCAACTTAACCCTTTCCGTTTGCTGTCGCATTTGTTCCAACGCCACCGCTTTCTCTAACTCTTATTGCTGTCGTACTCTTTCCAATTCCAAATCCCATTCTTTCTCTAGCTGCATTCTTAACATCAACATTTCTTTCTGTTGTTCAAAGTTTAAAGTTAAGTCAGGGAGCGACTCCTTAACACCAGCAGCCCCAGTTAGGTTAATGGCCGTCGTACAAATTTGCACTCAAAATAGCCTTAACATTTTTCTTTTAATCTTTTAGCCCCCACATCTATTTTATAGTAGTCGGCTATCTTTATTAACTGATCCTTTGTACACTGATCTAACAATGCCTCGGACGGAGCTTCAATGAAGTTATCCACCCCCGCCATGACGCACAAATGACCAATGCACAAAACAAATCCCCGGAGATCAAAAGAACGTACAGTATTGACCATACCCGTGCACAAAGAAAGTATAGGAGCAACTTAGTAAATTGAGCATCCCCTCTAACTGCCTATCCAGATCTACATAAACTCGACCCTAGTCTTCAAGGGCTACTGACGGCGGGTATTTATGCACCAAAACCCGGTAGTATGACAAAGCGACCAGCAAGCTGGCAACAATGCCAACACTACAGACGTGCTCCCGAGACAACTGCTCGCAACCGCTTTCACCCCACACTACATTTAGCCGCAAACGAATCCCAAATGGGAAACGCGATGTTCCTACAGGGGAGTCAATTTAACATTTGTGCCACAAAATCTGTGATGATGGATAGAGAGTCTAAGGGTACATTCCAAGTCTCTAAATTGCACCCCCGTTTCTGTCATTTCCTTGCATCTTATTCCCTCCCACCAGGGATGTATGGAGAGACGCAAGGAAACCATGCAAGGGGAGAGGAAATGAAGAAATATGTTTCAACATAAATTAAACATTCTTTCCTTTGAAGCGTCACGTGAAGCTACCTCTGTTTCTGATGACAGCAGCACACAGGAGAAGTTTCCCTTCACAGTTTTCTGCAAGAAAGGGTTTTATTTTAACTCAATCCATGATATTTTTCTAAACCTAACCAAGTAGGTTTGTTGCCTTAATAACATATTATACCGAGAGCCCCCTTTAAAGGGGGCTAGGGGGGCGACAGAGTACAAACATGTAGTACAATTCACTTTTGCGAAACAAATAAAATGATATTTTATGACATATCATATACCTATGTAACGAACAAATTCTGGGCAAAACAACCATGGGTAACCAGAGTAACCATTTTACTCACTCAAAACACAGTTATACACGAACTAATTCAATAAACTAGAAGATTTACCACAATATCACGTATTTTTCCCCACAAATCGACGAACTATGCACTCCGTTTGCATATCCCAACACAACGCTGGCCGCTATCATGGCCGATGCATAGATCAGAAAGCACGAGGATTCGACCGCGAATCCACCCATAGCTTCTAAATTCCTCTCCGTGAAACCATTAAAAGATTACAGCCAGAAAGCCAACGAACAACAAACCTCTCCACAGCAAAAAAATTTAAACGCATCGTACCTTGAGATGATTTTCTGCAAGAAAAACGCTGGAAATTGACGGTAATCCGTTTCAGACGTGTTCTCTCTGTGTCCCTTTGTGTGTGTGTGTGCGTGTGAAAAATGGCGCTTCTGGGTGCAAGTATGATGAAATGGTCAGCATTTTTGGCTTGGGGGTGGCGCGGCACGGTTTGGGATTTTTAGTGGCTAAAAAGTATGTTAATCTACTCGAGCCCAGCTACTGCTTTCCTGGGTCTCTTCCGCATTGAACAAGGTGTCACATGCTGAAATCCGCCAATCATAGGCTTAGAAAGGGCTCCATAGACACAGACAGAGACGAGAACATTCCATGGAGAGATATGAGAGCTCAAAATGGCTTGAAATGATGCCAAACTGCTGTATTTGGATAGATTGAATACTAGTAGTGATAAAATAAGTGAAATATATAGTTATATAGTATATAAAATTAGAATAGCACAGCGCAACAGCTGGTTCCAAAAATGAGAATTTGGTATGGCCCTGCCTGACCTCTCCATACTCAAACCTCTATAACCTTGGCCTGCTTCACTCAATCGAAGTAAAATTTGTTGTGGAGACTTCAAACATGTTGTGCTATGATTGTGGTGTATTTTTAGGCTTGGATCTGCATTATTTCAAATAAATAATATCAATAAAACTTGCTTTTTTTTCAGGTGAACCTGACAATTTTCAATTTGAGTTTTGTTCCATCTTCATTCACTATTAACCAGTAACATATAAGAATGGTAACACTTGTGAGATTTGCTCAGATGTGTAAATATCAGTGTATAACATGAAAATTATTCAAATAGACCTTGTAGTTAGAGATCTACACTCTCTTTAGTATGGGTATGCAATTTTCGAGCAGAGGCCTAAAAATAAGGCTAGTGTTTAAAAGGTTTAAGCATGTAATTTGCTCCTCTGAGAAAGTTATTGGCAGCTATCTGCCATCCCTCCAGTCCTACAAGCCTTGTATCCTTCCAGGGTCCTGAAGCGAGCTGGAAAGATTATGGTCTACCCCTTACACCCCGGACACAAATCATTTGAAACGTGGGCCATCAACACCAAGACCTAACTACACAAAAACAGTTTTTTCACCGATTGCAGCTTGTCTAATCAATTTGGCTCGGGACCCCTACTGAGGCTGCCTCCAACTGATTAAATTACTTAGTGAGTACTACCACATATAGACACAGTGGATAAAAGGCAGAGGAAGTATTTCCAGTGAATGTCAGCACTAAAATATATTTGGGTCAGAACTGCACTGAAGAATATTGCTGCAGTTGAAAGAAAAAAGGGAAAATTACCATCTAGTGAATGTCAACCAGAGTGGCACTACAAAAAAATGATATTTACAGCAACGTTAATCTACTGAGTTTATGCATATCTTGAATGCTAGTAATGTTTCTGACAGCTGCAAAATAAAATTCCAGGCATTTCCTTGGCATGTTATATACTGTATAATTTTTTCTATTATGTCCAACCGGCATTGTATTCTGTGCCTTGTGCCTTACCCTGTGCCTCCTGGTCATTGTCCATGACCTCAGCCTGAGTTATCCACTCCATATAGCCCTTGAGGTCCTCATCCAACTGCTGGGTTTCCCTCAGCTTCTGAAACTCTCCTCGGGACTTGGCCTTCTCTCGCTCTTTTGTGAACTCACTAGTTGGAAACAAGACAAACAATATGAACTAAAGAGACAGAACACACTAAGCAGTGTGAAGAAATGACAGTCTTAAATGAACAGCTTAAAGAGTAAATCATGATTATGTAAAATAAATGAACTGAAGGGAAGTAGTTAGGTTTGGGGTAATCTTACCCACTGAGCACTCCCAGAACGAGGTTTAGCACGAAGAAGGAGCCAACCAGAATGAGTGTGGTAAAAAAGATCCATGGCCATTCCATTCCTATAGCATCATTGACCTGTATGACAAAGCACACTTTTCTATCTTTATCAAAGAAAGTGTAACTTAAATACGCACGTAACATTTGGTAATAACCAGTAATTAAAAGAAAACTGCAATTTCTGCAGGATATCAATATAAGTTTAATCTCTGTGCATACATATAAGATCTGGGACATGTTTTGCCAAGCATACCACTCTGCTAGCCAATTACCATGGAAAGTCGAAAACTGCTTGTCATTATGAAGTCATTAGTGTTAACTGAGAAATGTGGAGTTGGTAAAACATGGGAATGTATCAGGCATTACAGAAAATACTATTGTGTTGCCCTGTGGAAGTGTAGAATCTAGTGTCGTTGGAGACGCATACTAGGGACTAAAAGCAAGGATAACCTTTGCTGGATTCATTTTGACCATTATTCTCTTTTTATTTGATTACAACTTTACGGACGAACAAGACTACTGCTTTGTCTCAATTCAGATAATTACTGAGACTACTTCCATGTATTACACTAGGTGTGTCTCAATTCAGGGGCTGCATCCTTCAGAGGCTGCATTCGTAGACCGGTTACGTCACAGCGCTGTGACTAGGCTGTCCAATTTTGTTGAAGAGTCCTTCAAATTCAGCCGACGAATGCAGCCTTCTGCTCCCAGATTCGGAGGACACATCTGATACTGTATATCCTTCGCGGCCCAGCATATCCCGAGATGCATTGTGTGCCGATGGGTTTTAACTCACTCGAATATCATCGATACAAATGTTAAAACAAAATAAGCGACCTTATAACATCACATCTGTTAAAATGATCGGTTAAGTTACGTGACGTTCATAGCTGACAAGCTACTAACAAATGACGGCCTGTTCACCGGAGCCAAACATTCTGCAAGCGTTGCTTGGAAGTAAGCTATTGGTCCATTTGTAATATTGCTTTTTGATCATCCTGTACTTAAGGTTACAGTTACATTAGCTCTCATCCTGTATACAAAGCCTTTACTAATAGGACAACCAGTAGAGAGGACAACACACTTCTGATTTGTTGTTGCTGTCAGAGATGCAATTTGTGACCTTTTTCTTTTATTTATTTAAATGGAAAATAAGACATCCATGTAAATTATTTCTATGTGAATTTGTGTATATTCTGCTGTGTAAAATGTTGCATACTTGTGTTAACATTATTGATAACGTTTTAACTTTTCATAATTTTGTCAATGTGATTAGGACAATTTTGGAGAAGATGTGCCTGCGGGGGAGGGTGAGTCCCTTGCAGGCAAAAAAAATGTGACAACCTCAAGAAGAAGTATAAAGTATGTGCACATATGTTACAAGTTAATTAACGTTTACTGATAATAATTTCGCTGCTGTTGTTTTTGTTAACTGTCTTGATTGATGTGCTCTGCCTTAGGATTGCAAAGATCCAGGGTCAGGTGAGGGATATATATATATATATATATATATATATATATATATATATATATATA